CCTTTGAGTGTTTGTCTGATCGACAATCTCACTATAAATGCAATTTCTTCAGATGCTCGCTTTTAGTCACCTGTCCTGTGACCCATGGCCCACTTTAGCGTCTGGTATAGCAGTGACGTGCCCGGGCTAGGTCTAAACTACAGATCCGCTAGGAGGATGAAGTGTTTTCCGAGTTAATACAACGCGAAATTCAATAGAATCATGATGCCCTCACGTTTCAGAATGGAGAAATTCAGCCATAAGCTTAAGAGTCATATAAGTGGTTTGACCACATTTTCACAACTTGCTCCTATTGTCAAGGCAACCTAGATTAGCGCATCTTGTAAAGAGTCCTCTGCTATAGTAGATATGGAAACTATGAATGCCGAACTGCAGACTCGGCGCTTTCCCAGCAAGTCGCTGGCATCGTCAGTAAGGCCTGTCTTGCTTGGCACCAAGCTACACTCCTTAAATAGACAAAGAAGTCCATTTCTTGATAAGACTTTTCAATGTATCAAGTCCACGGTTCGACGCTTAAAATTAGCATGAATAATAAGGAAGAGGACTTTGAGAATTAACTACTTTTACATGAGTTGTGCCCACATCCGAGTTACTGGTAGCCTCAACGACCTACTCATTTACGATGACAACTTTTCATCAGGCAAAACAGAGGCCATACCAAATAGGTATTTATACCTCAGATCAAGAGGCCCAAGCTGACCCAAGAGTAGTGTATGCCTAAAAATGAGTCGTACAATTATGTAACTGAGTTTTTGGCTTGGCTTGACGCCGTGACAACACATTCATCGACTAGCAGGACCCTCCTAATGGATTGAATTGTAGAGCAGCACAAGCAAACCACTTCACACTCGAATACGGGCGTGAGGAGGTATGATTTTCCAATCCGTCACAATCTGGGCTAGTATGATTTCGGCTTGCCAAGACGTTACTGCCCCCCTCTGCTGGGAGCAGGAGAAGGCTGCGAACTCATTCCTCCCTTCCCCCGACTGACAGACCAACGACTCCTCGAGTGGGTAGAGTTGCCATGAAAATGAAGAAGAAGATGAGGTAAAAAGAGGAAGCTTACCATTGGTATATTTTAAAAAGTTCAGATATCGGCGCGAGGCTCATTTGTCATATATAGATCTGGTTGAGATGTGTTGCATATGAGAATTAACGGTCAATTTCCTTCGGTGTCTAAGCATGATACAGAAGTGGAGAAACGAAGGTAGGCCTCTAGAGAAACACAATGAGATCAGGCTGGAGATATACTGGGATGAATGGGCTGATATCGGAACAAAGTCTAAAGCAAAGAGAGAGAACGCGTGGGAAACATAATTCGCAGTCTAATCGACAGGCGAACTAAATGCCCATAGCCAAAAACGAGGAGGCATAGTTTTAGGAAAACTAGTTCGGAGGGGAAGATTAGTATCATTTATGCAGGCCAACACCACAAGCACATCTTCTTGCAACTGACTCAGACAACAATTCCAGAAGTGTCAAAATCGAGAGGGTGAAAATTGGGGGCAAGAAGTGCATATACGTCCGTCGATTTGTGGGAGAGAGTTGGGGCTTGAAGCGGTTCAGAATGGGTAGTCGGCGTTCATTGCAATAGCCCAGATGGGAAAAATCCTGTCAATAGTGGTAAAAAAATGAATCGAGACTAGCAAAAGATAAAACTAGAGGGAGGAGACAAGTAAAAAAGAGGAGAATTAAAGTTGGCTGTGAGATCTAAAAATGGAAAAACAGACTAAAGAGGCAGATAACAGAGTAAAACTAGTGTATTTAGTCTGCGAACGCTAATAAAAGACGTTTACTTAGCTCTAAGATTGGGAGGAGGAACCAAGGCCTGTTGTACCACAGGATATATAAATATTTGTTAATATCGGAGATTAAACTGTTTATGAGTATAAATAGTCGTGTTATCATTCAGAGCGGAGTTGCGGTTCTCGTGGTAGATATGTTGCATTTCAATTGTTATAGGCTGTTCTTGTTTGCACTAATGTATGTGTTTATGCGTGCAATGTGAATGCGTCTATAAGTAGTCCCAGAGTAGTTCAGTCCGTGACTTGGATATCCAGAGCCAAATGAAGAGAAAGGCGACGATTCATCTGCCGGCCGCCGAGACAATCAGGAGCCGAGAGTGTCCCGGACGCGGAGTGACTGAACAATGAGACTGAAGGAACTGGAGTAGTGAAGAGGATCAATCGAATGGACCATAATTCTAAGTGGTCAGCACGGAAGTGGAGTTGTGCAAAAGCAAAGGAAAGTTGTCGAGACCATATACAGGGACAGCCTTAAGAATTAGGCTCTAATGGGTAATTGTATGTATATTTAGGTATATATATATGGTGATGTGATTTGCAGGTGCTCAGAGTACTAATACGAGTTCAAATGTTGCGCTCGTGAGAGCAAGTGTATGTGTATATAGGCCAATTGAGTATCCTCGAGTATGTCCTTGTGCACGTGTGTATGCGACGAAGAAGGGTGCAGGAGGGAGGGTCAAGAGGAAAACGAATCGTACAAACTACCCAGACTTCAGCAAGGATGGGTCACTGAGCGAATGATGTAGGCAATATGGACAATAATTTACTACAAAAATAGGCTCGAATAAAATTATTATAATAGTTATAGCAATAGTAGTGGTAATAATGTTGATAAAATTACACCAGAACATAGTAGCCACACAGCATTATTAGATTCTGAGATAGGAGTACGCACATAAAAGGGATGCATATGAATGCAAGTAAACGTGCATGTGTGCGTGTGGCAGGAAAAAGTAGGTAACAAGAGGAAAATCCAGGCTAAGGCAGGAAGCGGGTGTAAAAATATATACGTATACTGGGTGGTGAGGCGAGAGGGTTGTGAAACGGGGAATCAAAGTTAGTCGTCAATAAAGCAGAATATATCAATCTAAAATTCGTCTCCTCTTCTGGTGGCCCTGGCGACTAAGAAGAAAGGCTAGCATCAAGTGAAGGAAAGGCCGGAGTGGGGACCGGCCAGTGGGCGCCTCAGAGAGACTGACAGAAGGCGATGTGGAACACGAGCTACCGAGGACGGTGAATCACAGAGCACGTGGAAAGTTAGGCAAGATCATAGTGATGATGCCATGGCAACCAGGCTAAAAGAGGGTCGATAGGAGACTTGTGATCAAAAGTTCTGTCTATCAGGAGGCCATGAGCTCGAGGGGGAATGGGCCGCTCATGAGCTGTCTGATGGAGCCAGGCGCCAAGCTTGTTGCCGTCCGCAAGGCGGTGAAGAGGAGGGACCGATGGAGCCGGAATGCGGACAAGTGTCAACGGGCCCGCCGGGATGCTTAACCGTGTCCGTCGGTCGCGACGGACTGGGGTATGCGTTGCCAGGTGGACGAGCCGTCAAAGAGGGAGCATGGAGAGGGGACAGAAAGGGAGGGGGACGGTACGTCAACATCGACGAGAGCAAATGGGAACGGGCCGTCAAGTGTCGCAGCCAGCCTGAAAGGTAGATCGGGATTGAAGAGCAGCGGTCGCCGTTTGCCTATGTACACAAGAAGAGAAAAGCGAGAAGTGGTACCGAGGGAGTGGGAGGCGAAAAGTGAGAAAAGTTTCCTTATCCAATTAAGCCAGAAGAGAGACGATTCGGTCGTGGGAGTGAGATTCATCAAGCGGGCGGCATAAGGGCTCCTTGTCAAACTGCGATTCAATCCGATTGTGTGTTGCCCATCAGCTAATTGTAACGGCTCTCAGCTGGCCCGCTCGGTGGCCTCGCGCCAAAACAGTCGGTAAAAAGTTAATTTCTTATTCAGCAGCTCGAAGGAAATAATGTGGGCGTCTATGGATTGCATCATGTTCACCTGGAATTCTTTATTTGATTCTGCCTCCTCCCGATGGACGCTGTCCGCCGTCCGGTCGCTACGACCGTATGGGCGCTCGAAACTGGCTACCTGGGCATGTGTGCGAGTCCGAGTAGGGGAAGCGGGATGGGCAAAGTGGAGATGAGACGTGTGCGGAGGATGAAAAAGTATTCATGTGAAGAGAGAACGAGACTGGAGAATGGCGTCAAAGGGCCGGGCAAGAGGAGACCAACTAATTCGGTAGCAGAAGGGATCATGTGGCTGCGAGGCCACGCAGAGATGGGCGTCAGTGCGTGAGCCCGCTCATTCCTTCCGGTTGTCGAGGGGGCGTAGAGACGAGAGGTGCGACCAACAGCCGGTCGTGGATGGCAGCAAGAGGGTTGGCTAGTGAGTGCTGAACGGGGCTAAGAGGAGGAGACCAGGGCCCGGAATCCAAGGCAGCACTTGGTGGACGCCTGAGGGAGGAGGAGCTAGCTCGAGCAAGCCGTGGCGATACTGTTCGGAGTGCGACTCAGTCGTCGAGGTCGGTGTCGGCATCGGCATACTCGAAGGAGGAATTCTGCCGCTGTCGGAAGGCCAGCGAGTTGAGGCTGCGTCGTTGCTCGGCGTCGTAGTGCTGGTCAAGGCCCATTCGAAAGGCGTTGACGACTTTAATCTGAAAGTGCAAAGTCGAGCAAAAATGGAAGCGTAAGTCGCAAGGTCTGTTCTCCAGCAACGCCTGCACCCTCATCCAACTTGTGTTGGTGACAAGGCTGGCCACGATAGGGCACTATGCCCGTCGCCACGATAGGGCAGTGAGTGGATGCCAGTGGCTCGGAGGGAGGGCAATCTTTGGGTGGCGTCGTCAGGTCATCAGAGTCCCTAGCCCTCTCCCCTAGCCTGCACGACAACCGTCAACCATACTACCTTTGACAGCCTAAATTATTCATCTTTCCTGTGAGCAAACTGGCATAAAAGCTTGAAATTCGACGACTAGTCCACTTGTTCGGTAGCATTGGAACGTTATTTTAAGAAAATCTCGGTTAGTGTGACTCGAGTCTGCAATTGTAGGAAAGTTAGTTGGAAGGAATTGGTGAATGGGTCTGACGAGAAAGCTGCATTGTGCAAACAAGTCGTCGTCGTCGTCGTCGTCAAGTAGAAAGACCAAGAAATGTATGGCCAGGCAAGTCTTACACGTTTTCATAATTTGGCATATTATCGCTATTTTGTGAAGTATGCTTTCTCGTTTTGACAATGAACGCCACGGCGATGTAGACGATGTAGGATTGTGAACTGAGGAATTTCTCGCGTAATCCAACTTTAGGCACTAAACGACGATGATGCTGTTTCCGACGAAACCAATTCATGAATTCCTTCCAACCAACTTCTCCTCCGAAGTGGATAGCTGAGTCATACAGCCGTGGCAATTTCCAGTCCGGCGGCCATGCCATGTGGTAGTCGAGTTCTGATGACATTTGAACAAATCATTGAGGAATATTGAATGACTAAAGGATGAGCAGTCGTCAGCAAGAGGCAAACAAAGTCAAGAAAGTATCATAAAATATAATGAGATGTATTCACCCTATTTCGTGTAAGGTGATGAAGGACTGGTAGTAGAATTTTCCCGCAATGATATGAGTTTAGCTGACTTTTCCATTGAATTTCACATAGCCTTGCTTTCCCAAAAGTTGTTCTCAGCCACGATGATATGAGTTAAGCTGACGTTTCCATTGAATTTCACATAGCCTTGCTTTCCCAAAAGTTGTTCTCATCCCTAGGCACCAGTGGTCTGCAGTTTCGACCTCGCATTGGTCTTATCAACACCCTCAGCGGGATTCGAACCGCGACGGCCCAGTGGACTGCAGTTTCGACCTCGTTCGGTCTTATCAGCAGCCTCAGCGGGATTCGAACCGTGACAGTGCATAATGGGAGATGGGGTGAATACATCTCGTTACACTGATTTACTGGTAGTCTC